TACAAACCATTCACATGTTTAAGAAAATCTCTATAAAGATAAGATTTTGAGAAATACAGTTACCACCATTATGCTGTAGTTGAATATTATGCAATTTTCCTAACTTAATATTCCATTTTCCTGATTTAATATCTTGCCTCTAGCTTGATTATTCTGACTTGTGAAATTTCCTGTGACCTAAAGAGCAAAATGAGGCTTATTTTCCGTTCCTCATCTCCATGTGAATTATCTCAGAGAAGATAATCAAATTAATATCAACCTTCAAGGAGAGAAACATTACTGAAATTGCTTTCCCATCATTTGTGGTTCCTAGATCCTTGGAGCTTGGCTCCACAATTTAAAGCCTAACTTTTCACTGAAAACTGAAAAGTAGCTGTGATTTTATTTCAATTAGATATCTGTATCTTTTTATCCATTCTGGAAATTCTAGTCAGAATTACTATGATATTTGCATTTTGTGGATAATCTCCAGTTTATTGTCCATTATGGATTATCATGATAAATATACTGATTACATTCTGGTAAACATCTAAATACTTTGTGGTATAGAGTACTACATTGGAAAAAGTGGAGAAAAACAAATTTCTGATTTAAAAACACCTGGAATCACAAGGATAGAGGCATAAGAGTTAGTACTAATAAAACAATACTCTCATATTTCTAACTAGGAAACAAAAACCTATCGCTTCTCTTTTCAGCTTCATTTTCCATTCAGGAAAATATCAGTTATACTAACCTTCTTATCACTCCTATGAGGATAAAATTAGAAAATGTATATAAAGTAGAATTATAAACAAAAAAATTCAACAAGTATTTTAAAAACTTGTTGCACAACATTATATAGTATAATGTTGAAAACGCAGGTCCAGAAAATAGTTCTTATACTTCCTAATTCTCTCTTTATAATTTACAATGATATCTTAATCTATTCCACACATAAAAATAAAAAACACCACAAACAACAAAACAAGAAAGAAATAAAACTAGAGCTAGTTCTACAGAAACTTAGAGCAAGCAAGTAATAAGGAAGTATGGACTAAAACATAAAATTGTTAATACTCAATATATTGAAAAATAATTCAAATTATTTAAACATGCTGTTCATAACAGCATTACTTTTTTAAAAAAACTTTTTATTTTGTATTGGGATAATGCTGATTACAGAGAAGGAAATGACAACACACTCCAGTATTCTTGGCTGGAAAATTCCAGGGACAGAGGAGCCTGCCAGGCTATAGTCCATGTGTTTGCAGGGTCAGACACAGTGAGAGACTGTGCTCAGTGAGAGACTGTGCGTGCATGCATAGCCAATTAACAGTATTGTCATAGTTTCAGGTGGACAATGAAGGGATTCAGGCAAACATATACATGTATCCATTTTCTTTCAAACCTTGCTCCCATCCAGGCTGCCACGTGACACTGAACAGAGTTTCATGTGCTATACAGCAGGTCCTTGTTGATTATCCATTCTAAATATAATGTGTGTACATGTACATCCTAAACTCACTAACTATCCTTTCCCTCCATCCTTCCCCTGGCAACCAGAAACTTGTTCTTGAAGTCTGTGAGACTGTTTCTATTTTGTAAGCAAGTTCCTTTATATTATTTCTTTTTAGATTCCATATATAAGGGATATCATATGATATTTCTCCTTCTCTATCTGACTTACTTCACTCAGTATGACACTCTCTGTATCCAGCTATGTCACAGCAAATGGCACTATTTCATTCTTTTTTATGACTGAGTAATATTCCATGGTATATATATATATATATATATATATATATATATATATACCACATCTTCTTTATCCTTTCTTCTGTCGATGGACATTTAGGTTACTTCCATGTCCTGGCTATTGTAAACACTGCTGCAATAAACACTGGGGTGCATGATTCCTTTTGGATCATGTTTTCCTCTGGATATATGCCCAGGAGTGGGATTGCAGGGTCATATGTTTTCTCTATTTTCAGTTTTTTTAAGGCACCTCCATACTGTTCTCTATAGTATTATTTACAATAGCCAAGATATGTAAGTGACACAAGTTCCCATCAACAATGAATGGATAAAGATGTGGTATATACACTAAAATGCAATTTTAACTCAGCCATGAAAATGAATGAAATTCTGCCATATGTAACAAGGTGGATGGAACTAGAGGGCATGATGCTTAGTGAAATAAGTCAAAGAGAAAGATAAATACTCTGTGTTATCACTTATAACATATAAAAATAAAACAAAGGAAGGACTATGACAAAACAGACTCATAGATGTAGAAAACAATCTAGTGACTACCAGTGGCGAGAGAGATTGGGGGAGGGGTGGTATAGGAGTAGGGGTCTAAGAGGTACAAATGACTATGTATAAAATAAGCTATAAGGACATACTCTACAGCACATGGAATATAAGCAATGTTTTATAAAAACTTTAAATGGAGTATAATCTATACAATTTTTGAATCATGGTATTGTACACTTGAAATGACTACTGAACAACTACACTTTTAAAAACTAATTAAAATTTAATTAATTTTAAAATGTTTCAAACTACAAAAATTGTGCACGAATAAAAAGGTGTAAAAAATAATAAAAGGTATGATGTTCCTGGGTGTTCATTGGAAAGACTGATGCTGAAGCTGAAACTCCGATACTTTGGCCACCTGATGTGAAGAACTAACTCATTGGAAAAGACCTTGATGCTGGGAAAGATTGAAGGCAGGAGGAGCAAGGGATGACAGAGGATGAGATGGTTGAATGGCACAACAACGCGATGGACATGCGTTTGAGTAGGCTCCAGGAGTTGGTGATGGACAGGGAGACCTGGCGTGCTGTGATTCATGGGGTCGCAAAGAGTCGGACATGACTGAGCAACTGAACTGAACTGATGATGTTTCTTATTCTTTCTCAGGCCCTTCTCCCAATCTAGTTCTGATTCATGAAGCCGATGCAATGTTTGTCTTTAGAATTCCTTAGAATTCTAATGACAGAATCCATTACATTTTTGTAACACAGGCATTAAATGGACATGCTGGAGAAACTGACTAGTGGTCACAGAATTGACTGGTATAGCCAACAACTGAGAAGAACCACCTATCAGTCTCCTACGTTCTGAGTCCAGAGAACAGTGAGATGTGAGACTACAGCCTAAGGAAAGGCATCATTTCAGGAGACCTGTCACTGTGATCCTCTCCCACCTGTCTTTCCCTATTTAGGAGAACTGTTGAGATATGGGGACAAAGGTGGTCTTTAAAGGTAGGACAGATCACGAAAAGAAGTTATTCTCAAGGGAGGAATATGGACTGGTTTTCATTACCACCTTGGCATGCATTAGTCATTGGAGAACTGCTTGAAAGGCAGGCCTAATCACCTAACCTCCCAAACAGGATATCCGCTTGGTCATTGGCCTTAATGACTTGTACTTGCCATACAGAATTAATGCAGAATTGGGGTAAGCAGCAGGAGGATTGAGGAGAAATGCTGTGGCCAGGACAAGATTAGGCAAGGAAAACCCTTAAGTGTACATTTCCCAAAAGGTACAGAAAGTGGACTTTAGCCTTGCCTGTAAGAACAGGCCCAGGAACTTTGCTGGCAGTCCAGTTGATAAGACTTTGCAGTTCAATTGCAGGGAGCATGGGTTTGATCCCTGGTCAGCGAATTAAGATCCCACATGCTACATGGTTGCAAATAAAAACAAACCCCCCAAAAAACAGGCTCCTGACCTCCTAGGGTTAGAGCTCTGAAGGACAGATTGCACATTTACCTGGCAATACTTGGCTGGGAATGCCAGAGTATGATTCACCTTTGGCGATACTAGTCACATGCCACTAGGCCTCTTCCTAGATGTCAAACTAAGTTGACAATACTAAGTGTCCACTGGTAACCAATGTTTTAGGCAGGTGTTAGAGCTGGAGTTAGCAAGGCCTGCTGTGGACTGTATTTATCTGCAGTAAGACTAAAGATATGACTCAGATGAGTTATGATGACAAAAAAGAAGAGTGGAAAGGGCAGCAACTTAATCTCTTCTATCGCTCTATAATTTCCGTTAACGACAAAAAATATGGCTAACAGATACACTCAAATACTCATTCAAAGAAATATATTTTATTGAATATCTTCCCCTTATTTTTAGTATTTTTCATCAAGAAAATAAACTGGTGGCCAAGAAAGGTGACACAGAGTTTTACATGACCCCAGTCTTCCCTCTTCTTGGGCGACTGGAGATGCACATGCATCCTACATTAGTGAGATAACAGCTTTGAATCTAATATAAAGCATGTTTTATATTGAATTACCTAAATTTTGAAAGCTATAATAAGAGAACTTAACAACCAAAACCAACTGAAAATTTAAAAATTTCTATTGAGATACCATTGAAGGAACTGGTGACTCAGGTGAAATGAGGCAGGGTGGGACCAAGTTGAAAGGGCGTGGAGGTGGCAATAAGTAAATAAGATGATATAATGCATATGCTTCAAAGAGCTGAGTAAAATTAGTCCAACTATTTATCCTGATTTTTCTTATTCATTATCCCTTATTCACCAACTTTGTTTCTTCAAAAGAGGAAATACTAGGCTACAGACCTCTGAAGAAACAATATACTGAAGAAGCTAAATGGTTGGAATTGTAATATATCATCTCAACATAATTTCCTCTTATTTTTGCCACATACCCAGGGGGATGGGTGTGGGCAAGGGTGACGATTGCCCTTACTCCCAAGGAGCTTACAATGTTTCTAAAATTTAACAGGAATACAAATACAAAGGTATGCCAATATTATTAGTGTATTTCCTCTTCACTCCAAATCCAGCCTTCTTTTCCTTTGATTTTCCATTCTGAAACTGGACCCTGTAAACATTTCTTGTTTCATCAGATAGGACAGTGTTAGCATTTGTTGATGGGAGGTGTGAGAGATATGCGGCAGGGCAAAGGAGTTTCTCTTTCTACTGAGTTCTGTTTCTCACTCTGCAATGCCCAGTGGCTAATGCCGTGCAGAACACTCACCCTTCAGTGAAGTTGAGGACTCCTGGAGGTGGCGCTTGGACGTGGGGTAACTCCTCTCGGCCGCTCCTGCGCTGTGCAGTCGCCGCTCCTGGACAGTTAGAACTGGAGATGGAACAACAGACTGGTTCCAAATAGGAAAAGGAGCACGTCAAGGCTGTATATTGTCACCCTGCTTATTTAACTTATAGGCAGAGTACATCATGAGAAACACTGGGCTGGAAGAAGCACAAGCTGGAATCAAGATTGCCGGGAGAAATATCAATAACCTCAGATATGCAGATGACCCCACCGTTATGACACAAAATGAAGAAGAACTAAAGAGCCTCTTGATGAAAGTGAAAGAGGAGAGCGAAAAAGTTGGCTTAAAGCTCAACATTCAGAAAACCAAGATCATGGCATCTGGTCCCATCACTTCATGGCAGATAGATGGGCAAACAGTGGAGACAGTGGCTGACTTTATTTTGGGGGGCTCCAAAATCACTGCAGATGGTGACTGCAGCCAGGAAATTAAAAAGACGCTTACTCCTTGGAAGGAAAGTTATGACTGACCTAGACAGCATATTAACAAGCAGTCATTACTTTGTCAACAAAGGTCCGTCTAGTCAAGGCTATGGTTTTCCTAGGAGTCATGTATGGATGTGAGAATTGGACTGTGAAGAAAGCTGAGTGCCGAAGAATTGATGCTTTTGAACTGTGGTGTTGGAGAAGACTCTTGAGAGTCCCTTGGACTGCAAGGAGGTCCAACCAGTCCATCCTAAAGGAGATCAGACTTGGGTGTTCATTGAAAGGACTGATGTTGAAGCTGAAACTCCAATACTTTGGCCATCTGATGTGAAGAACTGACTCATTTGAAAAGACCCTGATGCTGGGAAAGATTGTGGGCAGGAGGAGAAGGGGATGACAGAGGATGAGATGGTAGGATGGCATCCTCGACTCAACAGACTTAAGTTTGGTCAACTTGGGAGTTGGTGATGGACAGGGATGCCTGACCGTGCTGCTGTTCATGGGGTTGCAAAGAGTTGGGACACGACTGAGCGACTGAACTGAACTGAAGGTGGCGCTAGTGGTAAAGAACTCGCCTCCCACCACAGGAGATGTAAGATACACTGGTTCAATCTCCGGGTCAGAAAGAGACCCTGGAGGAGGGCATGGCAAACCCACTCCAGTATTCTTGCCTGGAGAATCCCATGGACAGAGCAACCTGGCCGGCTACAGTCCATAGCGTCGCAAAGGGCTGGACACAACTTAAGTGACTTAGCATGCAAGCACAACTTTTCAGTGATATTCTCACAGGCAAATTCTACTAGCAACCCAGAGGACTGCTTGTCAGAGTGTCTGAGCAACTTCCTGTGAATCTTATCAGCAACCCAGCAAGTAGCTTGTTATCAGTGAGTTTATTTGGCCCCCTAGCCAGCCCCTGTCCACAGCACCTCAGTGAAGTTTTCTACTCTTGACTGGGCCACGCCAACACCCTCTTCACTTAGGTCTGAATCTCAGCCTTAGTGGGAGCTAAGGAAGCTCTTCCAAATTTGTTTCTGCTCTGGATACTGTGCTTCAGCCCTACAGGTAATGGCTGGTCTCTGTATCTGCTCTCTCTGTATCCTTTTGAATAATCTCTAGACCTTAGTATTTAGCCTCTCATTTGTGACCCTATGGACTGTAGCCCGCCAGGCTCCTCTATCCATGGGATTTCCCAGGCAATAATACTAGAGTGGGTTACCATTCTATTCTCCAGGCGATCTTCCCGACCCAGGGGTCAAACCTGGGTCTCCTGCGTTACAGGCAGATTCTTTACTGTCTGAGTCACCAGACAAGGCCACTAATCTCTCATTATTAGTTAGTAATTCTTCATGATAACCTCTTCCTGTTCACCCTATTTTTCTCATTCTCAACATAGTAATAGTACCACTTACATTACAAGATGTATAATACCTAGTTCTTGGTATGGAAAATTTCATGAGTAGAGTACTGCGTAAGGCACTTCTGACTGATCTTCCTGAGCCTCTCATTCTGTTCTGGCTGCAGTAACAAAATACCTCAAACTGGGTACATTATGAACAGCAGAAATGTATTGCTTATAGTCCTGGAGGTTGAAAGTCCAAGAGCAAGGTGTCTGCACAATTAGATGAGAGCCCTCTTTGGGGTCACAGACTTCTCACTGTACACGGTAGAAGGGTCTAGGAAGTCCTATGGGGTCTCTTTTATAAGGCACCAATTCCATCCATTCAAGATTTTACACTCATAGCGTAAACACCTCCCAAAGACCTCCAAGTATTAATACCATCCCCTTTGGAAGTAAAGATTACAACAGTGAATTTAGGAGACACTTGGCAGTTAAGTCTACAACATATAATTTGGGAGATACAAATATTCAGACCATAGCACTGAGGTTTAAACAGACAAAACACATAGCTTGACTGGCCATATAGGAAAATGTGCATTAATTAACTGTATGATTATATTCATCATCTAAAATTTTCATATAAACTCATATTTCAAAGCATATTTTGACCCTATATCCTACTATTAGACATGATACATCCTTGCAGATTCAGATTACAAAAGTTCCATATTATAATATGGGTGAAGGGAGATCAAAAAGTACAAATATCCAGTTAGAAAATAAATCAGAGCAATGTAATATACAGCATGGTGACTATAGTTAGTATATTGCACTGCATATTTGAAAGTGGCTAAGAGAATGGATCTTAAAAGTTCTCATTACAAGAAAAGATGTAACTATGTATGCCAATGGATGTTAACTGAACTTATTGTGGTTATCATTTTTCAATATGTACAAATACTGAATCATTATATTATACACATGAAACTGATACATGTAAATTATATCTCAATAAAAAAATGAAAGGCAATAGAAAGGGTTTGCAAATTTAGGATCTTGCATATTTTGAAAGAGATTACTTTTATCCCCAAAAGCTAAAAAATGAAAGTTATAAAGGCCTTGAATGTCCAGAGCTAATCAAATTCCTCCACTGAGTAAACTTACTTGGAGCAAATCAGATTAAGGGGGTGGCCTTCCCAGTTGTTGATCTGGACCACCTTAAAATAGTCACTCCCTTAAGTTTAGGAAGTGACTCCTGTACTAGAACACTTAGAAATGAGCAAGATAAACTATACTGATTATTTAATTGGATGATTATCATCCTGCTTATTCCACAAATAAATTCTCATTTATTAGCACATAAAACCTATCTTTCTCTCCATTTTCTGGTTCTGACTTACTGATACTAATTTACTCCTTTAGGTAATTACAAAATTAGCTCATGATAGATTATAACAACTCTCAGAACCTCAGGTGGGCAATGACTGACAATACACCTGAAATGAACAATTGTAGGAGGAATCAGACTTAACCTTGATTCATACCCTATCCCTTTGTATTGCCATTTGGCAAGGGGGAAAAAAAGCATATTTTGGCTCTATGTACTGCTATTAGACCTAATATACCTTTTTGTATCCAGATTACAAAAGGTTCATATTATTATATTATCTAGTTCAATAAGGCATTTTTTAGTAAAATCATCATAATGTCAAAAAGTTCTAAATACTTGTCCTAAAACCATAATTCAACAAAAATTAAAAATATGTTTTAAATAGGATATTAATAATCTTTTAAAAACAATGAACATTGCTTCCCAGGGGTACTACATCAGCCAAAAAATCACTTAAATTCAGTTTATTTTATAGAATATATTTATAATTTGAATGCATTATTGCTCTAATTTTGAATTTGTATTTATAATATCCAATGATAAATCAATCAGCCTCTACAACACACAAAGCATATTATACACCACATACTATACAAGATGAAGAAAATTGTTCACTTCTTTTAAAAATTTCATAATATACAGGTATTTCCTCTTTAAGCTTCTCTAGTTAATTGGAGTAAACCAAATACTTTCATATTCCCTATATTTAACCAGGTTATGTGGTAACCTGTTTAACAAATCTGTTGATTACTTTTTATTGAATTGGAATAATTTGACAGCCAAAATAAAAATTCCAACTTTCATATGCTTTAATATAATCTGTTGGTGATTTTTAAGTATAAATTAAATTTAATTAAATATAAAGATAACAGCAAAAGCATAGTGCATTAGCTGCCTTAATTCAATTATTTCTCAGAATATATAAAGAAAGAAATTATCCTACGTGAAAAAAAGTTGCTACAAATGTTTCTGGTAATTAATTTCAATCTATAATTGTTTTTCTTCCATATCATTTCTAGGGTAGTCAGATATCTCCAAATATAGGTCATTATTTGGAGCTAAGCAAAGATCCAATACAATCACATTTCTATTTCATTCCTATTTCAAAATGCTCATAGGCACCCTACTTTTCTGCCGTTCCAAGGATTAGGTGACTATTAAAATGACTAAAACCATGTTATAAGGCAAAATGTAAAAATTTTAAACCTGCAGTGTTCTTTAAACATAAAATAATTTCATGCAAATGAAAATTATGATGATAAAATGTTTGGCTTCCACATAGATCTCATGTTTTAATGGATATGCGAATTTAATGGAGATGGTAGAGCATATGCATTTTCAGCTGGCACTAGAGGAAAAATTGCAAAAAAGTTACAGTTGATTGAAAATGCTTGGCAGAAGTATTCACTCATGTGGTCCAAAAATATAATATCTAATATTATGCTGGCTAGATTCAAGAAACAAATGTACTTAACTGGCACTTATAAGGAATATTTCAGATATTGCTGCAGAAGAAACCTTTATGGATGATAATCTGTTTAGAATAAAGTACAGACAAATATCTTGTCTAGCACAGAGAGCCCTGTTGTTCATTTCTGTATATTATGCCAACTTTAAAACACATATTTAATGACATGCCCATGAAAGTAATTGAAAAGAATAGAAGCACTTATAAACATTACTTGGGAGGAAACATTTTACTGCATTTTTACAACCGAGGATTTAAAATGCACATTATGGATAAGGAAATAAAGGCAACATTAATCAATTTTGCCATTTTTCTGTGTGATAAGGGGCTAGGATATAGCAAATTTATTTGACAATTTCTTAAATAAGTGCCTGGTAACTTCCTAAAAATACAAATACTTA